CTATAACCTGTCTGGCAATAGAGAGGAGAAGTGTGACGTCTCGTTACCACGGTGTACTATTTCTGGATGACAACAACACCAACGAAGACGACGACGGCAAGGACAACGGCAAAAAATAATCAACAAACAACAACTTTCCACGTGAATCACGCTATTTTGTACATATCCTTGCCGTCGTTGCACCACTACGACATGAAACTTCCTAATTTCGTGAGCCCGCTTTATGGAGTAGGTAAACACAACCACAAAAATTGTCGCTTTCTTTTTCTAAACATAGATAACGACAGATGCCAAATTAAATGAAATTAAACAAGATCGGTGAAGTTTGAAACAGTGCGAATAGACTTAAAAGTGACTTTATCGGTTTGTTGTCATCCAAAAATTTTGCTACCATGGCAACGTGACGTAACGACTTCTCCTCTTTATTTGTGCAAATTAGCGAGAAAGTTGCATGAAACGTTCCCGAGGGTAATAGCTCCACCCATGTAAAGGAATACGGGAACATTTTGCCTGTGGAATCCGTAATCCTGGGCTAACAAAGAATGAAATCTGGAATCCATGGCGTAGAATCCAGAATCCAAGACTGCCTTGAATTCCCTCACATGGGGTGAAAAAAAAACCGAAATGAACGTTTCTTGAAGCATTTGTCTTATATTAGAGTTGCGAGAAGTGCAACTTGGTTCGACGTTGTGCGCCGAACAAAGACAGCCAACGAAAACGTTGCGACACATGGCGATTTCAGGTGATGTTCCTAAGAAATTGTATTGCAACGAAATTGCGAGACAAGTTGAGAGAGCAATAGCCTTCTGTGGCGGGAACCTAATTAACCTGTTTTCTTTCCATCACAGGCTTGTGGTCTCGTGTATACAGAACTTGAATTGAAGCCTACACAAGATGAAGACGAAACTGAAGTAAACGCCAAGGGGTGTGTCACCATTTACTCTAGCATACAGGAGCAACAGTAAAGACGGCAGTAAGTGACATCCTCTGAAGACAGGAGATCCCATTAGAAATTGCACGCTCAGTAATAATTAATTTGAAATATTATTTGCTGATATTCGCCTATAAAAAGTAACCATGTTTATAGTTTCCTAAAGCTGTAGGTCAATAGACCTCACTAGCTTATATGTTTTGTTTTCCCAATACAAGTCACGTGATAATACTCTACGGAACAGTTTCTTTCAAATATCGTCTTATTTACGAGAACATCTACGCATACACTGTGAAAAGACAGCGGAGCAAGTTCCCCTGGAACCTCTATTGGGAAAACAAAACATACAAGCTAAAGAGGTTTATTGTGCTATGCTTCAGACATACAATGAAACTGATGTGACTAGATTTTCTTACATACGCAGAGCTGCTAAGCTGTGTATCTATTGTCAACTACAAGGAGGTGGAGGCTGGCAACGGCCTTCGATCTTGCCGTTTTTCGGCTTTCCATGATCGCCCCAGTTAAGAAATCTGTCAACCATTCGAGAACTGTAGGGAGCATGCGTGAAACGGGCTGCGAAACAACAACAACAAGTTCGTTTTCGCAGCGATTCGACAGTGAGAAGTGAATTCCGAATCAGGATAAATGAAGTCCCCTATGAACTGTTCACACATCACGCCTCCTGATGTCCAAAAGGTCCATTAAAAAAGGTCATAGAAACCTTTTCTTGATGTTTCGACGCAGGAAAACCGAAAACCGACCAAAACTCATCGCTCTTCCAAATTTGAAGGAAAATTTGTACTGTCTCACTCGACCAAATCATGTAAACTCGGTTCCAGACCTCGCTGCCAGCTCCCCGCCCCGGTCAACCATGCATAGAGTGTGATACTAGACACTATTTTGACAACAAATCTTAAAAGGCAAACTCTATAAATTTACTGCTTGTTTAAGAAATGAATTATATTGATATTGAATTTAATCGTTTGAATAATAGTTTAACAAGTGTACAGATTTGATTTTAGGGTACTTTATAGTTTTTGTTTATTAACTGGACTGTTCCGCCTGTGATGTTTGTTCAATTTGATCGTTCTCATTTCTCACTATCTATACAATGGTCAATGGCAAAGAGCCTTCAGTTGTTTAATTATGAAAACCAGGTTTTTGAGTTATCTGCTAGCAGATAACTACACAATCTGCAGGTTGTGAGGGCAATGCATGATATACCAGTTAAGTCAGTTAAAAAATTAATATGATTATATCAAAAGCGGTCTATGGTATGAAAGGAATTCAAAATTCCATTTTTTTTTTCAAACAACTCTGATTAAGCGTGAACAAAACAACTGATACAAAAATTATTCCGCATGACTATTTTTTTTTTAATTCATGTGATGTAACTTTGCTGCCGTTGCTCTTTGCCAAATAATTATACTGACTCTCTACAATACGAGCAACCAAATGACGTCAGTATATTTTAAAAGCGACGTGTGTGAGATTTAAATTTGATACAAACAAGTTGTCTTCCCCAGCTTATCCAAGGTAGTCATGTAGTTAATTAAGTGTATTACTGAACTTTAAAGGCGTTATAGACTATCGGGGCTCATAACAGAGGCTAACGCCCTAAGAAAGGGGTCTTTCCACAAGGCAGTAGGTAGGTAATGAAACGCTTAGAGTATCATCAAACGATTCCTGGTATGATGCATATCAATTTCAATTTTCGCATCTATTCGTGACAAATAACCTACAAAAGATTAGGCAAAAGAATCGACAGATACTTAAAAGCTGCCACAGGAGAGAAAACAAAATGACAAGAACAAACACGACAGGAAGTATTCCTATGATTATTACTTCAACTACCTTTAACACCACTAAACATATGCGGTCCTGTTCTGAAATGGTCCCACCACTGAGAGAGAAAATAAGTTCCACCATGTTGATAACCACCAAGACGAGAAGGGCGGCTAACGAGGCAGCCTCTCCACGGTTTACCCAAGGGTCTTTGAATGGTCTTTTCCACAAGTGATGTACGAGAATAAAAGCACACGCGATACTTAAGCAAACCATCCGGATGAAGGGAAACACGATGAAAGTGTGCGGGGAAATCAGCACCAGACGGCGAGCAATGAGAACACTCTCCCAAAACACTGCTCCTGAATCCTGGCCGTCGATACATTCCTTAAAGGGTCCGTAAATAACTTTCGCTGTTGAATCCTGGAAGGGTATATCGTTTCTTGAGGAACTTGCACGTGGAGGTAGCAAAGGCAGTTGTTCATCGCTAACTTGTTGGGTCTCTGCATTAGTAGTGGGAATCTTCTTGCAAAAAACCATCCACCAAATGGCGAACGGCAAGGGACACAAACAAGCATACAAGAACCGCTTCGTGGAAATTTCTTTACTATAGAGCAGTTTAGATCCGCTATACAAAACTGAAACAAACGGTACAATGTACATGAAGATAAAGACCGCGCATAGTTTCTGCCACCAAGTCCAGCACTGGATATTCCCATCGTAGAAGAACCGTGATGTTGATTGAATGGGAACGCAATTCAGCGCCTTGAGAACCGTTAGCGCTAATGTTGAGTAACTTAGAAGCAAACAATCTACTGTGGCAGATAGGTATTGATCAGCGGGAGGGAAGACAGGACGTTTTCGTTGTATTTTTCGTTTAGCTCCATTGACGACGAAAATGAGTAGGACACCAAAGAGTACGGCAAACACTTGAGAGGCCTGCAAGAAGATCTTTGAAACAACTGTTAGTCCCAGAAATGGGCAAACCAAACCGCCTTTTAAGCCAATTGCTTTGAAATAGAACCACCCCATCACAGGGAGTAATAAGTAGTTTTCTGCCAGATGCATCTCGCTGTCTTTAGATACAAATACTAAACCAGCGACTTGGTAGAAGTAGAAAATCACCTTGACGTATCCACTGCCATCCGATGTCAAATCACTGACAGCTGCTCTCTTTCGGGCCCATGGTAAAATCCGCCGGGCATAACATATGATTGAAGACTTTCGAAGAAGGAAGAAGCTAAACGCAAAACTGTGTAACAAAACGACTGGCCAGAACCAATAATCTTTGCAGTTGTTGTTCTCTCGGCACTTTGCAGAAAAGAGCGTTTCTGTATAACCAGATTAACATTGTCCACAAAGGACACCAGTGCGATTTCCAGAACACCCACTCGCCAAATATCTTTGGTTTTCGTACTTGCAGCTAACATTTCGATATGGACAACAGTAGTCAGTAGGACAATGTCGGAAGCTAACTGATCCGTGGTCATCAAGTGAACGAAATCCCCACAATGTTGGGCTGGCGGCGATGTTCCTTGTGCAATTCCCACCATAAGGGCAGGGCCGACAACTTTTACCAGATGGTTCAACACTGTAGCATCCAGGAGGACATCGTTTACAAGAGTAAGTAAAGGATTGAGCTATAGTCTCGTATATTTCGAGTTGGCAGTAACCATTTGAATTCAGACGAAGGTGTGTGAAGTTCCTTAAGGATTGCAACGTTCCTATTGGGCACTGAATGATCGACAAATTACCAATATTTGATGAGTTTGAGCCAGTTACCATAAAGTACGAGTCAATATCCTGAAACGGTTTGGCTTTGAGAGTCGTGTTTTTCAGTTTTATCGGCCCACTACTTGCAAAGTATATAAAGCCGCTAAATGTCTCCTCCCATTGTGAAGACTTATGAAAAGAGGTGTCAATCAGTTCGAGATTAGTAGAGCTTTCTCCGACGAAAACAGTATAAGAGGTATCATTGTCAACAAATTGACATTCGCTGAAAACATTCCAACCACTTTCTAGTCGTATAATAGAGGGATTTAACGCTTTGTTCTTACGGAATAATACGTTAGTCAGTCGAACTTCGTTTTTGTAATCATACCAATTACGAACCTTACCATCTATATTATCGGGAGGAAATTGAAACAGTACAATTACCCCTGGCGATGTATTGTTCTCAAAGATGGCATCTTAAATCGTTATGTTGTTTCCCTGAATTAGAGAGTAGAAAGAAAATAGTGGTACATTTGAACCTAAATATGCGTTTCCCCTGAATGATGTGTTTTTAATTTGTACCAACGAATTCCCTCTTACCGTGAAATTTATCGTTGTTTTTGAAATGTGCGTTCGCTATTGAAACAGTATGTGATGTGAGACCTTGAAGATCACTCACTTCAATACGAATCCCACTGTCTTTGTTATTCTTGTATTGCAATCCATCAATATTTATTTCTATATGACTCCCAGAGTTTATAAATAAAAGAAACGGTCTTTTGTTTTTATCTGCCCAACGTTCTGCATAATTTCCAGATATGAGGGTTCTAATAACAAATAAACCGAGGAAACTTGAGGAAATGTGTGCGATTGCAAATCCGTAATAAAATCTCTTGTTAGAATCTACAATAGAGATGTTTGATTTCCAGACGTCCAACCACAGAGTCGAAGACCCATTAGCGGCTGAATTGTACATAAATGAAACTTCTTCCAAACGAATTGTCATATTGTTGCAATACAGACAGCCAATCCCCAGAGCTCCTCCTTTGCTCGAAGAAGGATCATATCCTGTAATAACGTTTTCCATAAGCAAACTTTTTCTCACAAGATCTAAATACACGCCGAAAAAAGAAGGCGGTGAAAAGTAAATTGCTGCCCAGGATATTTGGGCGCTATTTTCAATAAATTCACTGCCGACAATATTTAAGAATGGCCCGGCCTCGTCAAGATAAATAGCACCACTGTAATAAGGAGAACCGTTGTTCACGAAATTACAGCTTGTTATCAAAGTGTTAACGCTGTCAAGAGTAGTCAAGGTAATCGCTCTTCCTAGATTGCTGGAAAATGGAACTTTACTGATGGACAGCAAACCTCCTGTTTCGCTTGAGAAGAATAAATGCGATTTATTGTCCACATTTCTAATGTGTGTCTTCTTGGTGCGATGTCGTTGGGATTTACTGTTTGACGTCTCCCCAGAGATGATCCCCTCCAAACGAAGGCACCCTCCTAAAGGCGCTTTGTTTCCCATGAATAAACTGCTGGTTAACGAAACAAATGTCCCAGGATATCTTAAACGTTCAGTTGGCAACAGCACCATAAAAATACTCAGGTAAATCCCCTTAAAAAATGCGCTTGTACCGTTGGCGATATTGTTGATAAACGTAGTTTCGAAAATTTGGATCTTCGGTCTGCTCCCAAGCATATAGATACATGGAAAACCATTGTTGCTAAACTTGGACCGCCCAACCCTCAAGGAAAGGTCATGTTCATCAAACGATTCAAAATGAACTACACCTGTTGCGTTTGGAAAAGTCATGGCATCTTTGAAATGACAACTATCTACAAACGAAGAGCAATTCTGTACAGTAACGTGGCTATTCAAAACCGTAAGGCCAGAAAACCGAATAACAACATTTCTAGTTAAATTCCTGCCATCAAACAACAT